CATTTATGTGGAATAAATCTGTACCCATAGGTTTACTCTTATTTTAGATAGAGCTTTGTATAAAAAGATCTCCAGGCTGGAAAAGGCCAAGTGATGTGGCTCCCTTACCATAGGGGCATGATACTTTACTTCCACAGCAGGTGCTGTCTTCTTCATACCATTTCGACACACATCACCTCGATGAGTATCACTTGAGTGGCGATGATATGCATAACATCCTATATAATTCCTTGGAGTCGAACTCACTAGAGATAGTCACGATTGATTCTCGAATGAGCTCATGCCGCAAAACAGCCCCTAGTCTTTCCATGATTGTTGAACTTCATTTTTACTAGTTCAGGCTGTCGATGGCACACGACCCTCCAACCGTAAAGTATTCTCATTTGTCGAGAATTTTCTAGTAATCTCTCCGACATCAGAAGTCTTCTTAGATTGATGGAGGTAGTGAAAGTATGAACCCTCAATTGTGTCCCATTTGTCACTCCTTATGGGATATAAAAGAAAGACTTGGTATTTTTTTTTGGACTTCAATACAGAGAAGAAAACTAAATATGAAAATGAGTAGTTTATTTAATTGTCTGAGCATCACTTAACTTTAATAGTAAAATAAGGACTTACAAAATTATTGACGCACAGGAATTTAGTTTTGTAACACTAATGCTGACATTATGCTGTAAAGTTACCTGAAGTAGTCCAATAACTTGCCTCTGTACCTAGAGCAAAGGTGGAAGTACAAAGCATGACCGAAAGATCAACTGTAGGAGATTGGTTCAACAATCATGTTTGATTGCCAGAATTTTTTGACATCTTGGATGACGAATGCTATATGATATTCTATCATTGGACTGTTTAAAAAAACAGTCAACACTGCCATCCAATTATTTTTTTGCCACAATTTATCTATCATCCAAGCAACGTTATTCTTGGTTCAAACCAAAAGCAGCAGTGAAAGTTGCATGCGGCTAGTAGTACTAAAACTCCACCTGCACAAAAGAAATCAAAGACACGTTAGAGAAATGAGAACGTTCCAATGGTTGAGGCTTGAAAATAAATTTAGCTGAGAGTTAAAGCATCATGCGTCTTTCCAGATTCATAAATCATAATTAGGAAATTTCAGAGAATCAATGGTCTTTGATGATGGTACAATTTCATTAAAAGTTAAGAGTAGCTGATTGCTGTTAGATTTTATTAAAATTTTAAACCCCAAGAACATGAAAACTTAATTACTTTATTGTCAAGATCTTCCAGTTAAATCACCAAGAAAATTATTAAACACGGAACATACCTTGTATCATTGGGATTGCTTACTCTTCTTTTTGATTCTTGAATGATTGTACGCAATTGTGGATTTTGGATCTTTCTCTTCATCTCTTATATTCTTGTGTTGATGAGATGACACAAATAATTAGAATCGCATATGAATTGTAGACCACAACCCCTATTTATAGTTTCCTATGTATTTTTGGCCCATTATAATAATACAATTCTAATAGATCCAATCTCTACACATAATTAGACTCAGTTTATTTGGATTTCCAAAGCCCATAACTTTGATTCTTATAAGATCACTTTAAACGGGCTTAATTTTAAGATAGTCTTTATATATAATTAATTATATATGTAAGCCTAAATGACAAATTAAATTCCAATAATCTCCAACTTGGGTCACATATGTTACCTTATAAATGTGCATAACTTATAATGTCAAAATTTTACTATCATAACCAAAAGCATCTC